TAGGGCAGTGTACAGAGGCTATTAGTTTGTAGGGCAGTGTACAGAGGCTATTAGTTTGTATGGCAGTGTACATAGGCTATTAGTTTGTAGGACAGTGTACAGAGGCTATTAGTTTGTAGGGCAGTGTACAGAGGCTATTAGTTTGTACGGCAGTGTACAGAGGCTACTAGTTTGTAGGGCAGTGTACAGAGGCTATTAGTTTGTATGGCAGTGTACAGAGACTATTAGTTTGTAGGGCAGTGTACAGAGGCTATTAGTTTGTATGGCAGTGTACAGAGGCTATTAGTTTGTAGGGCAGTGTACAGATGGTCAGAAGGGTTGAGAACTGGGGTCCGTAGTAAGTGAGGTGGAGTTCAGGGATATGTACAGAACTCAGAGGTCAGGAGTACGCAAAGGACAAAATCCACACTCATCAATTTGTCTTTAACCAGTTGCCGCCCGGCCTATGGTCAAACGGTAGCCGGGCGAACACTTCGTCCCTCCGAGATGACGCCATATGGTGTCCTTCCCAGATCGCACTTTGCGCGTGCCCGCAGGGCCACGCTATGGCGAGACCTGTCACCGGCTGTGTACCTCTGACACAGCCAATGACAGATCTGTGTACCGTCCCTGTTGCCAGTACCATGTGACCTGCTGTGACCAATCACAGCAGGTCACATGACAATTGTATACAATGGATGGCTTCCCTTCATGCCATCCATTGTATACATGTGTGACTAGCTGTGAATGGTCACAAATGCATAGGCTGAGCCAATCAAAGCCCATCTGTGTCATGTGATTAGCTGTGGCCAATCACAGCTAATCACAACAACAAAACCTGAATTAATCAATTTCATTCAGTAAATGCTTGCTTATAGCAAATAAATTATTTACTATAATCAATCAAATTGTGTAAAAAAAAAAAAAAAATACTGATCACTTTTCCAAAGTAGTACAATGTTACTATGGTAACATTAAACCACGTTGGTCATAGTGCAATATGAAAAAAAATCTTAAAAAAGAGAAAGAATGTAATAAAAATATAATACAAACATTTTAAAAAATTATATATATATTTTTTTTTTGTACTGTCACCAGTCAGTGTCCCTGATCACTGCCACACCAGTTATATGCTGACACTGTACTGCACTGGTGACAGTATGTAAAAAAAAAATTGAGAAAATTTTTTTTTAATTTCTTAATTTTACGAAAAATTATGACAAAAAAAATTACAACTTCAAAAAACTAGCCATGCCTCTTATGAAATACGTCAGACTGTCTACTTTGCAAAAAGGGGTCATTTGGGGGATATCTGTACTGTTCTGACATTTTTGGGCCTCAAGAAGTTAGATTGGCTGTCAGTACTTCAGGATTGATCAATTTTCAGATATATCCCATAGTTTGTGAACTCTACAGTCCTAGAGACTAAATAATAAATACTGATTTGGGTTATTTTCACCAAAGACATGTAGCAGAATACATCTCGGCCTAAATTTATGAAGAACAATTATTTATTTGCAAACTTTTATAACAGAAACAAAGAAAAACGTGGGTTTTTTTCAAGCTTTTTGGTCTTTTCTTGTTAATTTAGCAAAAAATAAAAACCCCAGTGGTGATTAAATACCACCAAAAGAAAGCTCTAGTTGTGTGAACAAAATGATATAAAATTTTAGTTTGGGTACAGTGTTGCATGACTGCGCAATTGTCATTCAAAATGTGAGAGCGCTGACACCTGAAAATTGGCCTGGGCAAGAAGGTGTAAAAGTGCCCTGTATGGAAGTGGTTAAAGGATCAGCAATTACAGACAGATAATGTTGCCCTCTTTTATAGGATAAGTTCATCTTTCAAAAAAAAAATAATAACTGCACATTTTTTTGCATTTTTTTGTTGCTGTAGGAGCCTGTAAAGCATTACACCAGCAATCAGCAGATTGCTGGTGCCATGCAGGTCTCCTGCAGGTCTGTTAGTATATCTGCAGATACTTACTGACAGGAAGAATCAATGAACTACCACAATGCTCAAAGAGCCATGGTAGTTCATTGAGATCTACAAGCCAACAATCGCTAATGTTTTCAGGACTAGTAATCTTCCCATTCACAAAATACTGTGAATGAATGACATTGCTGGATGGGCAGAGCCCCACATGGCCTCATTTTTGTAAAATTTTGACAGCTAGTGAGGGAGAACATCCCCCGTTACCTGTCAAAGCGGGGGATTGGGGGTGTGGTCATTTCATAACATGTTACATGTTACACCCTGAATATGGTGTAGGTGAACTTATCCTTTAAAGCCTCATTCACACAGGCAGCCAGGGAGTGGTAAAAACAGGTGAATGAACTGCAGTTTTATTACCCCCTGGCCTGCCACCTAAAGTTTAAAATACAGCTGGAGGGGGCTGTTCACATGCTGCGGCAAATTTAGCACGACATTTTGAGTTGACAAGCTGTAAAACTGTTCCTTTCAAGTCACCAGGGCCATTCCAGAACCATTAGCAACAGCTCTAATCCCCATTAAAACTGCTGTTTGGCAAAGAGAGGAAAAAAACACACATGCAGGCATTCAGGATGCGGCAGGATTGCCTCCGGAATGTCTGACATTAGCTACTCAGCTGAACTCTAAGGCACCTTTCACATGGACTGGATTCAGTTTTTCTCAGCAGGAGATCTGTCCGCTGATCCCCTGCGGTCAACTGAGAGCAACTGACAGGTCCCTGTCTGCTCTGCTTATGCTGACTGTTTACACCCAACTGCCCTCCAATTTGGCCAGAGGGAGGGAGGGAAATGGGTGTCTTTCCTTTTTTTTTTTGCTGGATCGGAGGTAGGTGGGTATAAACAGGCAGCCCGTTTACATCCACTGCTCCATAGAGGACAATGGAGGGTCCAATCAGGTCTGCCTGAAAAATGGACAGGAGGACCTGATTGCACCGCTTGTGTGAAAGGGACCTGAAAAGTGATCCACATAGTTTGCTTTTAAGAGCATTGGCTAGTATGAACCTGGACTAATGCTACCAATATTGCTGTCCTTTTAACAGGGTGACATAAGCTGACACCTATGTTACACATGTGTAAAGTTACTTTCACTCTGCTAAAAGGACAGCAATAAGGTTGGCATTACAGTGCCTGTCATTACTGTGGGGGTGGGGGGCACAGGCTATGCACTGTACAGGCTCTTTTAGCAGATTCAAGTTCAGTACCACGGGGGGAAACACTTCTCTCTCTCTCACCTCAATCTCTACAGCAGCTTCTTTGCAGAAACCATTACGTCCCGCACCAACACAGGTGGTTGAGGCTTTGCAGCAATGGACAGCACCCACTATGTATCCATTGGTTGAGGAGGCAGTGGGAGGTGGGAGCAGCCAGCCTCTTGCTGACTCCTCAACCAATGGGTAGCGGAAATCTTCTCAAGCCCCACCTTCTTAATATCGCTTGGGATCTCCCAAGTCCAAGCTCTGCCAGTTAGCTTACTATGCAGGCGGGCTGGGATAACATGTATACAGGACTTGTAACCTGTATGTATAGCCTCCTCGCCAGCCCCCAGGCAGACCTTATGGGACACAGGTTTAGGGGGGAGCTGATGGCTTTGGTGGGGCTCAACGGAAATCTGGGGGGGCTCAGCCCACCCCAGCACCCCCCTAGATCCGGCCATGCTTCTCAGGTCCATCCTCCATTCCACATTTGTCCTCCCCTACCCTGATCGTCCTCTCTTCCATATCTATCCCCCCCATTCCTTGTCCATCCTTTCTTCTGTGCCTGTCCTTCAGTTCAGTTTTTGAAATAAAAATAAGTTATCTTTGCCTACATAGTTTTCACAGACCTCACTAACAGCACCACCACCTACTGACAACATGGCTGCACCATTCTCATATAGCTCCTCAGGCTTCTCCTAAGTCCTGAAGGGCTTCTTACCAGGAAATGTAGCCCACCTGGCTATCAGAGATGTCTTGGTCTGCAAAGGAAATGGCATCTGCTCATTCAGGGCTCTCTAATACAATCGATAACCAGACATTTTCCTCCCTTAGATATCCACCAATAGTGATATAACACAAAGGTGTTTATTTACTAAAACTGGAGAGTGCAAAATCTGGGGCAGCTGTGCATGGTGGCCAATCAGCTTCTAACTTCAACTTGTTCAATTAACTTTGAAAAAAAAACATGGAAGCTGATTGGTTATGATACAGGGCTGCACCAGATTTTCACTCTCCACTATTAGTAAATCAAACCCAAAGGCCTTGATTCACTAAGATGTGAGTGTATTAGCAGAGACTGACCATTCAGGCAGACTCCGGTCAATCAATCAGTCGTCTGACCAGCGTCTAGCAAGCTCATTGACGAGCGTCTACTGACTACTTTGCTATCACTAAATGTGGTATCCCGTCTGGCACATTTTTAGGTGCAATACCGGATATGTTCGCTAGATGGCGCACAAGCGCGGGCTTTATTAACATTGGCGTTCTTATGATGGCAAAATAGAATTCTTAGAATGTAATAAATAGTACACCTGTATTAGAATTTTCTATTTTCTTCTATTTCTTTTCTTGCTGTGTCTCCAAAATGATCAGGAAACTAATGCATTTACTAATGAATGTCATACATTCTGTACTCAAATGTTAAACATTTTCACACTTATATCTCAAATAATTTATATACTTCTAATTTCCCAATATAATTATATATCTTCATTCTCTTTAATCACGTAACTATTCTATGGTAAAGACAAGTGCAGCGCTATAAATGCATGTGATCAATAATGAATGCATGTAAAAACCAAAAAGTGCAAAGAATTGCAACAATGATGTAATATTGTAAATGGTGCTAAAATAAGTTCATAGAATCATTCCTGAATAATGGAATGTCCTTCGTGTGAGAGTACCAACTCAGAGAGTGCCTATTAGAGATGAGCGAAGTATTCAAAAATTCGATTCGGCTGATTCGGCGAATTCGCGGAATAAATTCGATTCGAGTCGAATATATTTGCTGCGAATTTAACTTATAAAAAGGGTGTTTCTAGGCTTCAGAGAGCCTTTATATTAGTGCAGAACACTGTACCTTTAATTTAAATGCCCTTGGAGTCTGCTGGGGAAGAGAAATAATACTGTCAGTCAGTATGACATGCAGATGAGTGCCGTCGATCTTAGAATCACCGCACACTTCACTCATTTGGGCAGTCACGGGGCCAAAACCAGAGTGTGGAGCCACAGTGTGGCGGTGGAGGCAGCAGCAATGGGAGGCCATACAGCACCCTATGACAAAATGGAACCCACCAGCAGTGTGAGGAGACCTGAAAGTGGCACATGGCAGAGTGTGGCGATGGAGACAGCAGCAATGGAGGCCGTACAGGGACCCATGAGACACTCTGGACCTGGCAGCAGCATGAGGAGGCGGTACAGGGGCCCATGACAGATTACGGGCCTGGCAGCAGCATGAGGAGTCGGTACGGGGGCCCATGGCAGATTACGGGCCTGGCAGCAGCAATGGGAGGCCCGTAATCTGCCAGCACCCTATGACAAAATGGAACCCACCAGCAGTGTGAGGAGACCTGAAAGTGGCACATGGCAGAGTGTGGCTGATGGAGACAGCAGCAATGGGAGGCCGTACAGGGACCCATGAGACACTCTGGACCTGGCAGCAGCATGAGGAGGCGGTACGGGGGCCCATGGCAGATTACGGGCCTGGCAGCAGCAATGGGAGGCCCGTAATCTGCAGCACACCCTATGACAAAATGGAACCCACCAGCAGTGTGAGGAGACCTGAAAGTGCACATGGCAGAGTGTGTGGCGAGGGAGATAGCAGCAATGGGAGGCCGTACAGGTACCCATGAGACACTCTGGACCAGGGCAGCAGCATGATGAGGAGGCGGTACGGGGGCCCATGGCAGATTACGGGCCTGGCAGCAGCAATGGGAGGCCCGTAATCTGCCAGCACCCTATGACAAAATGGAACCCACCAGCAGTGTGAGGAGACCTGAAAGTGGCACATGGCAGAGTGTGGCTGATGGAGACAGCAGCAATGGGAGGCCGTACAGGGACCCATGAGACACTCTGGACCTGGCAGCAGCATGAGGAGGCGGTACGGGGGCCCATGGCAGATTACGGGCCTGGCAGCAGCAATGGGAGGCCCGTAATCTGCCAGCACCCTATGACAAAATGGAACCCACCAGCAGTGTGAGGAGACCTGAAAGTGGCACATGGCAGAGTGTGGCGAGGGAGACAGCAGCAATGGGAGGCCGTACAGGGACCCATGAGACACTCTGGACCAGGCAGCAGCATGAGGAGCGGTACGGGGGGCCCATGGCAGATTACGGGCCTGAGCAGCAGCAATGGGAGGCCCGTAATCTGCCAGCACCCTATGACAAAATGGAACCCACCAGCAGTGTGAGGAGACCTGAAAGTGGCACATGGCAGAGTGTGCTATGGAGACAGCAGCAATGGGAGGCCGTACAGGGACCCATGATACACTCTGGACCTGGCAGCAGCATGAGGATGCGGTACGGGGCCCATGGCAGATTACGGGGCGAGCAATGGGAGGAGTCCCGTAATCTGAGCCAGCACGCATGAATGTTACAAAAGCGCGTGGAGAGAAACAACCATTTTCAGTGTGAGGAGTACCTGAAAAGTGGCACTTGGCAGAGTTGGCGATGGAGACAGCAGCAATGGGAGGCCGTACAGGGTACCCATGAGACACTCTTGGGCCCTGGCAGCAGCATGAGGAGGCGGGACAGGGCCCATGACGATTACGGCCTGGGAGCACTAGGAGTCGGGGACGGGGGCCCAGGCAATTACGGT